ATTTTCCCGGAGTTCCTCCCGAAAGGGAAATTGACTTCAAAATAGATCTCCTCCCAAATACCCAACCCATTTTGATTCCTCCTTACAGAATGGCTCCAACATAGCTTAAGGAATTCAAAGATCAGTTGAAAGACCTTCAATATAAGGGCTTCATTAGACATAGTATCTCTCCATGGGGTGCTCCAGTATTGTTCATGAAAAAGAAAGATGGTTCTCTCAGAATGTGCATTGACTATCATCAGTTGAACAAAGTCACCATCAAGAATAAGTATCACATCCCTAGGATTGATGATTTGTTCAACCAACTTCAGGGTGCTAGTTACTTTTCTAAGATTGACCTCATATCTAGCTATCATCAGCTCAGAGTAAGAGGTAGTGACATTTATAAGACAACCTTCATGACTCAGTATGGTCATTATGAATTTGTAGTTATGTCTTTTGGACTAGAAAATGCTCCTGCAACATTCATGGATTTAATGAACATGATGTTCAAACAATATTTGGACTTGTTCATCATTATCTTTATTGATGATAACCTCATTTATTCTCAAAGTGAGGAAGCGCATGTGACTCTTCTAAGAGTTGTTCTGCAAACTATCAAAGATCGCTAGCTATTCACTAAGTTCAAAAAATGTGAATTTTGGTTACAGTTTGTTGCTTTCCTTGGTCATGTGGTATCCAGCGAAGGGATCCGAGTGGATTCACAAAAAATTGAGGCAGTACAACACTGGCCTAGACCCACCTCCCTAACATATTTTAGAAGCTTCTTGGGTTTGGCTGGATATTACAGGAGATTTGTTAAAGGATTTTCATCCATAGCTTCCCCATTGACCAAGTTGACTCATAAGAAGGTCAAGTTTCAATGGTCAGATGAGTGTGAGAAAAGCTTCTTAGAGTTGAAGACTAGGTTGACAACAGCTCCGGACTTGAATCTATCAGAGAGTCCAGATAGTTATGTAATTTATTGTGATGCATTTAGGGTCAACGTAGGTTGTGTGCTGATACAGCGAGGTACAATCATAGCTTATTCTTCTAGACAACTTAAGGTTCATGAGAAGAACTACCTGACTGATGACCTTGAGCTTGCAGCCATAGTATTTCCCCTAAAGATTTCGAGACACTACATATATGGTGTTTATGTTGATGTATTCACAGATCATAAGAGCCTCCAGTATGTGTTCACCTAGAAAGAGTTGAATCTTCGCAGAGGAGATGGGTTGAATTCCTCAAAGACTATGCAATGAATATGGTTTACCATCCTGGTAAGGCTAATGTAGTGACTGATGCTATCAATAGGTTGTCTGTGGGTAGTATAGCACATGTTGAGAAAGAAAAGAAAGAGTTAGCAAAAGATGTTCACCGACTTGCTAACTTAGGAGTTGAACTTAAAGACACGTCAGATGATGGTGTGCTAGTTCAGAATAGATTAGAATCTTCATTGGTAGCGGAGGTTAAGGAAAAAATAGGATAATGATCTTGTATTAGTTCAATTGAAATGTGCAGTTTATCAATAGAAAGTTCAGGTTTTCTCCCAAAGGGAAGATGGTGTATAGAGGAATAAGATCCTTATAGAGACTCATAAATCTAGGTATTCCATTCATCCAGGTTCCACTACAATGTACCGTGATCTATGGGAGGTCTTTTGGTGGAACAACGTGAAAAGGTGTCCAAATTATCAACAGGTTAAGGTAGAACTTCAGAAACCAAGAGGTATGACTTAGGAGATTAACATTTCTACATGGAAGTGGGACATGATAAACATGGACTTCATTACGGGTTTACCTCATACTCGCATAAAACATGACTCAATTTGGGTGATAGTGGACAGAGTTACTAAGTCTGTTCACCTCTTGGTTGTCAAGACTACCGATTCAATGGAGGACTGCGCAAAACTCTACATCAATGAGATAGGTAGGTTGCATGTGGTTCCCTTGTCTATCATCTCATATAGAGGTCCTCAGTTTACCTCTCATTTCAGGAAATTGTTTCAGAAAGGTCTTGGTACCAGGTAAATCTTAGTACAACATTTCATCAACATATGGATGGTCAGGCAGAGCGTACCATTCAGACCTTAGAGGACAAGTTGAGAGCTTGTGTGATTGATTTTAAGGGAAGTTGGGATGATCACCTACCTCTCATAGAGTTTACCTAAAATAATAACTTCCATTCTAGTATTCAAATGGCCCCGTATGAGGCACTATATGGGCGTAGATGCAGGTCCCGGATTGGTTGGTTTGAAGTAGGTGAAGCAGCCTTAATAGGGCCAGATTCGGTTCATGAAGGTATGGAAAAAGTTCATCTCATCAGAGATAGACTAAAGACAACTCAATGTCGTCAGAAGTCCCATGCAGATGCGAGGAGAAGGGACATTGAGTTTGAAATTGATGATTGGGTCTTCTTGAAGATGTCACCTTAGAAGGGGGTGATGAGATTTTGAAAGAAATAGAAGCTTAGTCTTAGATATGTTGGTCCTTACAGAATTATGAAAAGGTTTTATAATGTGGCATATGAGTTAGAATTGCCAGTAGAATTAGGAGTGGTTCATCCAGTCTTTCACATTTCCTTGTTGAAGAAGTGTGTGGGTGATCCTACATCGATAGTGCCATTAGAGAGTGTGGCTATGAAGTATAGTCTAACTTATAAGTATGGTTTATTTATTTAGACTAGTTGGGTATCCCCATTTTTTAGTTATCTATTGTTTTAGCTTCCTCATAGTTCATATTTATTTAGTAATCTTCTAGTATGCTTATGATATGCCAGACATAGGGTTAGCTTAGGGTCACTCGTGATCCTAGGTCCCATGTTACGTCAAGTGGTAGCCTTAGGGTGTGAAAATCTCTCTTTCTTCAAGGAGATACACAACATAAATTAGAAAAGGCGGAGGAAACTGAATTTTACATAAAGGGAAAAAGTAATGGACTATTCTTCACCCTATTGTGAGAAACACACCTCTTCATTTAGTTCCTGCTGATGTTTCTCGGATACTGGGGATTCCTTCCGAAGGATGGGGGCATTATGTTAAGCTTGAGTGGCCGTCTTTGCCTAACCTGTCGTTTGCTCTAGCCATCTCTCGCAAATTCTCCTCTAAGCCTAATCTAACTTATCATCGTTGTGTTGAGAAGAATGAGATGACTCCATTATATCAATTGTACTTTTATGTGGTTCACAAGATTATCCTACAGAGGAAACAAAGACGTGTGTGATATACCATGATTTTACGGTATTTCTGATACATTTCACTTACAATTTGTGTGTGTCTAGGGCCTTTTTGCATTGGTTTTTATGTGCTTTTGTCATATTTTGCAAGAAAGATGTTCAGGCGCGGAAGTAAAGAGAGAGCTGAAAGAACTGTAGAAAAGGGCATGTACGGAGGTGATCTACTGACCGTAGGTCCATTGACGCTCCGTAAGTGATGGCCGTAGATCAGCAGGCAAGGCAGGGAAGGAAAATAAGGGAAGTTTGACCAAGGGTGGAACCACAGTCGCGATTGACGGTCTGTAGATTAATTTACGGACCGTACTGTTGATCCGTATATTTATATTGCAAGGGTTCCAATACCTGATTTTTGGAAGATTCTAAGTGTGGAACTATGAAATGGGATTGACGGACCGTAGATCGATCTATGGTCCATACTGCAGCACCGTCGTTTGCTTCAAAGAAGCTGACTTTTTTAAATTGAAATATTTTCTAAGTCCTGGCTGACGGAAGGGACTTACGGACCGTAGATCCATTGACGGTTCGTGAGTCAGTCTCGTGGAATGAAGACGCGTGTCTGAACAAACTTTCCTTAATTTGTTTCCCTTTTAATTTAGGACTTGTTTTCTATAAATAGGGCATGTAAACCTCATTTTTGGAGTTAGACTTTATTACTTCTGTTTTACTTTGTGACTTTGGAATTCATTTTTTGCAACCCTACCAATTCTTGATTTCCAAAAGTTAGTTTTGAAGATTTGGTTTGCAATTCAAGTTGAATTTCTGGGTTTATTTTTCTCAACTACGTAAGTTCGTAATTATTTCATCTAAAGCAATGAATTGTGTTCATATGATTATGGGTAACTAAACTCCACAACTAGGGTTGTGGGATCCATGAGGGATTAACAAAGTAAGACTACTAAATAAGCAATTCTTGAATAGTGTTTTGCATGCATTGATAATTCTTTCGTTTAGAAGTCTTTGTAACGGTGGCCAACATTAGAACTTGCCTCATTACTACATGCCGGACCAAGAAGGTAATTAATGAGAAAAGAATTATCAACATAGATTTAGTGTGATACTATCTAATAGGCTAGTGTCGATTGGTGCGAAGTAATAACTAAGACAAACATCGATTATGATGTCTAAAATGGGGTAAAGGTAAGGGTTAGTATATTATACACACGTAGCCGGACCAAGGTGCGGGGTGAAATTCTCTAGATGCCGGACCAAGGATTTAGAGATACCTAACTTATCACTTTGCATGTAATACACTAGGAAAGGATTGTTATTACTAGGATTATTGAGTTATGAGCTTGTGGTGAACACATATACCCTAGTTAATTCTCTCATCTTGATAACAAAAAAAAATTGACTTTTGTTTATTGATTACTTATTGAATACTTACAATTTATTTCACAAATCCCCCCTTTTTTAATTACTTGTGTCTGGAAGTAATTTGACTAAATGAATATAAGTGTAGGTTAAAGTTAAGTCTAAACCAATTTCCTCGTGGGATCGACCCCAACCTACAAGTTGGGTTCTTTACTTGATAACGATCGCTTACTCTTCTTTAGGGAGGTGTAATTTCAGCGTATCAAATTTTGGCGCCGCTGCCGGGAAAATTTGGCTTTTAGATTAATTTTAACTACATTATTGAACTTTAGTCAAATATTTCCTAATTTTACTTTTTCTTTTTCTTTTTCTTTTTGTCTCTCAGGTTTTGATTCTAGTGTATGCCAAGGACACGGAGCCAAGAAGAACCTCTTGCTCCGTACGATCCAGAGTTGAACAAAACTTTGTGAAGAATGAATAATCAAGGAATTCCAGTTAATCCTATCAGAGTAAATCTTGGTGATGCAGTTGAGCTACAACAGTCGAGAGTAGCTGGTGGGGAAAATCGGGGTCTAGCTGAAAATCAATTGGGAGATGCAGTGAGGGTGCACGGTCCACCAGGCCCACAACTGCATGACAACTACAGGGGCAACGTCAATATTGCTGACTCTGATGGACCTCTAGTCTTACCCCCTTTGCCTCCGGGGCACACATTTGTGGTAACCAGTAGCTTAATGCAGATGCTTACAGTGAGGGGCTTGTTCTTATGGTTGCTATCGGAGGACCCACATGCTCACATAGCAAAGATAAGGGTGGTCTGCAAGAGCTGTGTAGGTCGACCAGACTTGGATATGGATGTCATCGGATTGAGAGTGTTCCCTCTATCACTGACAGGCGATGTTGCTATATGGTTCACTGGGCTTCCTTATAACTCAATCTATACATGGAACCAACTGAGGGATATGTTCTTAGCAAGGTATTATCCAGTGTCCAAGAAGCTCAATCACAAAGATAAGGTCAATAATTTTGTGCCATTACCTGGAGAGTCTGTGAGTAGCTCAGGGGACTTATTCACTTCGTTCATAAGAGGTGTTTCGGATCACCGTATTGATGATGAGTTGCTGAAGGAACATTTCTATCGAGGTCAGGATGATAACAATAAAACAGTGCTTGATACTATTGTTGGAGGTTCATATGGTGAGTGCACATACGCACAGATCACAGAAAAGCTAGAGAAGATCTCTCAAAACAATAAAGCATGAAGCACTAGGAGGTCGGATACTGGGAGAAACACATTTGTCGTTCATGCTACAAACAACCAGTCTGCGGATGAGATTCGTGAAGAGATGGTTCAGATGAGGACCGAGTTGGGGTTTGTATTGAAGCATGTCAGCGGAGGTGCAGAAAATGTAAATGTTGTGAACTACTTGACTAGAACTCTACCACCAGTGGAAAAGTGTTACTATGAAGAGGATGCTTATGCTGTGAATGATCAGACGGGGGGTTTCTGACCAAATGCCCAAGGACCCAACAAGGAAAATTGGCGCCAAGGTAAAGGAAACCAAGGTCGGAATTATGGAAATTACAACCGAGAGAGCCAATATGTCCGAGATGGGAACTTCAATCGTGACAAAAAATACAACCGAAATAGCTATAGCATAAAAAATGATCGAGTTGGACTTATGCCCCCCTCAAAATTAGGAATCTGGTACTAGGGAAGCTGGAGGCAACATGGCGCGTATTGAAGATATGATGCAGAAGATGATGAGAAGGTTTGATGCAACTGATGAGAATGTGAAGGAGATGAGAAATGACTTGTCTGGTATTGTTCAAAAGGTTGATGCCCATGCAGTGTCAATAAAGCACCTAGAGCAGCAGATGACCCATTTGTCTACTACAGTGAACCCACATCAACCTAGTACTCTTCCTAGCAACACTATCCAGAATCCAAAGAATGACGGTCATTGTATGGCAGTTACTACTCGAGGGGGTAAGTAACCATTGATCAACCTATGCCGTCTGTGGTAGAAGTTGAGATTAGAAAAGAAGATGATATGGTAGAGATTAGAGAAAAGTCCGAGAATGCGACGGAGAAAGAAGCGGAGATATCTCAGAAAGTGGTCTCCATACCTAGACCTCCACTACCTTTTCTATAAAGATTAGTGAAGAAGACTGAAGATGGTAAATATCGAAGGTTTATTACTATGTTGTAGCAGCTTTCCATCAACGTTCCGTTGATAGAAGCTTTAGAGAAGATGCCTGGGTATGCAAAGTTTATGAAAGATATGGTAGCAAAGAAGAGGTCTGTAAGTTTTGAAGATGATGATAAATTGCATCATTGTAGGGCTATTGCTACAAGGTCTCTTGTGCAAAAGAAAGGGGATCCTGGTTCCTTCACAATTCCATGTACTATCGGATTGTTACACTTTGCTAAGGAATTATGTGATCTTTGTGCTAGCATCAACCTCATGCCATTGTCTATTTACAAGAAGTTGGGTCTAGGGGACCCAAAACCCACTACAATGTGGTTACTAATGGTCGATCGAACTGTGAAGAGGCCCATTGGTGTACTCCATGATGTGTTAGTGAAAGTGGAGTCTTTCATTTTTCCCGCAGATTTTGTGATTCTTGACTGTGAGGTTGATTTTGAGGTTTCCGCCATCCTTGGGAGACCATTTCTTGCCACAGGGAGTGCGTTGGTTGATATGGAAAAGGGACAGATGAAGTTTAGACTGAACAATGAAGAAGCAACTTTCAATATTTGTAGGTCCATGAAGCAGAGTGGTGAACTCCAAACAGTATCTGCTATAACTTACAGCGTGGAAAGTGGGATAGAAGTGCAAATTGAAAAGCGACTGGGTATTGAGACACTAGCAGCAGTTATGATGAATTTCGATAGTGATGGTATTGAAGAGTATGATGAGTTGGTAGCCGCACTCGATAGGTCTGAATATTGGACCAAACCAAAGAAGTATGAGTTAGACATGAAGAATCACGATTCCCTACCCGCAAGACCATCTATTGTGGAGGCACCGAAAGTGGAGCTTAAGGTTCTACCACCGCATTTGAGGTATGTATACTTGGGCATAGAGAATACTTTGCCGGTCATCATTGCGGTAGATTTGAATGCGAGACAAGTAGATTTCTTAGTGACTGTGTTAAAGAGGTTCAAGCGAGCTATTGGGTGGACTATTGCGGATATTATTGGGATTCCTCCCGGTATTTGTTCTCACAAAATCCAACTCATGCCATATCATAAGCCCAGTATCTAGCACCAAAGAAGACTAAATTCACCTATGCAAGAGGTAGTTAAAAAGGAGATCATCAAGTGGCTGGATGTAGGAGTTATTTATCCCATTGCAGATAGTGTGTGCCTAAAAAGGGTGGTATCACTGTGGTTCCAAATGAAAGAAATGAACTTGTTCCAATGAGGCATGTGACTGGATGGAGAGTTTGTATGGATTACCGAAAATTGAATGTGTGGACAGAAAAAGAGCATTTTCCTATGCCATTCATGGACCAGATGTTGGATAGACTTGCAGGAAAAGGTTGGTATTGTTTTCTTGATGGGTATTTGGGCTACAATCAAATTTCTATAGCTCTAGAAGACCAAGAGAAGACAACATTCACATGCCCTTATGGGACTTTTTCTTTCAGACGGATGCCATTTGGGTTGTGCAATGCTCCAACAACCTTCCAGCGTTGTATGATGTCGATATTTTATGATATGGTGGAGGACACTATTGAAGTGTTCATGGATGATTTTTCAGTTGTAGGTGATTCTTTTGATTGTTGTTTGGATCATTTGGCCTAGGTTCTTAAAAGGTGTAAAGACTGCAACTTGGTGCTGAATTGGGAGAAGTGTCATTTCATTGTTAAAGAAGGTATAGTATTGGGTCATCGAATTTCAGAGAAAGGTATTGAGGTTGATAGAGCTAAAGTTGAGGTAATAGAAAAGCTTCCGCCACCTATTTCTGTAAAAGGTGTTAGAAGTTTTCTTGGGCATGTTGTGTTCTATAGGAGATTCATAAAAGACTTTCCAAAAATTGCACACCCATTGTGCAAACTGCTCGAAAAGGAGTATAAGTTTAATTTTGATGATGCTTGTCTGAGAGCATTTGGAGAGTTGAAGGAGAAGTTGGTTACTGCACCTATCATTATTTCACCTGATTAGGGACAACCGTTTGAGGTAATGTGTGATGCAAGTGGAGTGGCACTTGGTGTGGTACTACGACAGAGGAAAGAGAAAGTTCTTCACCCTATTTACTACGCTAGCAAAGTTGTAAATGTGGCCCAGAAGAATTATACTGTGACCGAACAAGAACTTCTTGCGGTGGTTTTTGCATTCGAGAAATTTCAACCCTACTTGCTTGGTACTGAGGTCAAAGTGCATACGGACCATTATGCATTGAGGTATTTGATGGCGAAAAAGGATGCAAAACCAAGATTGATTAGATAGGTATTGTTGCTGCAAGAGTTTGATTATGTGGTAAAAGATAGAAAGGGGACCGAAAATAAAGTTGTCGATCACTTGTCCAGATTAGAGGAATAGGCTATGCTAAAGCTTGAAGATAGGGCTGAAATTAATGATGCTTTCCAGATGAACATGTATTGGATGCTTCTTATGATTTGATTCCATGGTTCGCAGACTTTGCTAATTATTTGGCAAGCGATTTGGTGCCCCCGGACTTGTCTTTTCACCAAAGGAGAAAATTTATGCATGATGTGAAGAAATTCTTTTGGGATGAGCCTTACTTGTATCGTAGTTGTGCTTATGGGATTATTCGTCGTTGTGTGCCCGAGGTTGAGATGTTGAGTGTACTTGAAGCATGCCATTCATCGCCTATTGGTGGGCTTCATAGTGGTATTCAGACTGCGCATAAGATTTTGCAGTGTGGGTATTCCTGGTCTACCATCCACCAAGATTCTCATGATTTCGCCAAGTCTTCTGATCGTTGCCAAAGAGAAGGAGGGATTTCAAAGAGGCAAGAGCTCCCTATGAA